GAGCAATGGCCAGTTTCTATGTTCGACATAATAAACCAATTGATCCTAATTACCGATTAGAATTAATTAATTAACTTAATTAATTCATTAAAGTCCTTGGATTTAACCATTAGGTCAAACCTACGTCAACGGAATATCCAGTCAAAGCCTAAGTCAAACGGGACCTAACCCAAGTCAAAGTCAAACCTGTTCAGTCAATTCATAATCCTCAACAATTCAATTCAAATAATCAATTTAATTCAATTAACCAATTTAGCCAAATTATAGCATAAACATATATAACGATCCGAACCATTAAATCTATTCTAAACGCTATTAACTTCATAGTACGGACCTGGATTACGCAGAAATCGAATCGATAGCTCGAACGGAAGGCAAATCAACGAAATCGAACGAACAACGGGTCAAATTGAGTCAAAACACAGAATCGAACAATTCATCTGGCGTGGAGATTAATCTGCCCGTGGTATCAATCCGGGGCAGCAGCTGGATGCGGCGACGGTGGCGGACGTCGGCGTACAGTGGCGGAGCGAGAGGTGTTCTAAGGGCGACGGCGGCTGGAGGCAATTGGCGGTGACCAGCGTTCGGTTTGGCGGCGCTGTAACTCGACAGCGAGGATGACAGACGCCGGTAGTGGAGGCGACGAATGGCAGCACGAGGATTGGGAACCGTGGTCGGCGGCGCTGATTCTGGCAGTGAGCGACGGACTTCTGGCGAAGGGGAAGCAGCGGCGACTAGCTGTGCTGTGGAAGGACGACGACCGGCGACGATTGAAAATGATGAAGACGAAGATGAAGGTGAAGATCCAGGTCGTGCGGCTCTCAGATCCGAACGGAAGACGCGTACATGATATGCCTTATTTTAATATTAATAGGTTTAGGTTTTACTTATTAATCCCAATACTAGTGGTTTGGGCTCCGGGCCCAAAATACCTGATTAAACGGCCATAACATGAGCTCCATAACTCCGATTTGCGATCCGTTTGAACCGACGTGATCACAAAATATTTCCTACGAGATGACATAAAAGTTGGGCTTAGAATCCAAATTATAATTTTAACCCCTTTTTAGGCCCAATTCGTAATCAATTGCTCTAACGAATTTAATTAATTCTTTTGGGCCAGATTTCGGGGCGTTACATTTCTCCCCCCCTTAAAAAGAATTTCGTCCTCGAAATTACCTGAGTCATTGGTCGCCGAAGAGATGAGGGTACTGAGTTCGCATAGATTTTTCGGTCTCCCAGGTGGCTTCTTCCACCGCATGATTACACCACAGTACCTTTACCAAAGGTACCGTCTTATTCCTTAGTACTTTAGTTTCGCGCGCCAAGATCTTAACTGGCTCTTCTTCGTAAGACAAACTCTCATCGAGGGTTACAGCATTGGTCGGCAACACATGAGTCGGATCTGAACGGTATCTACGCAGCATGGAGACATGAAAGACGTCGTGAATCCTGTTCAACTCTGGTGGCAACTCTAGCCTATAAGCAACAGCTCCTATTCGCTCTAGAATGCGGTAGGGTCCAATGAATCTAGGGCTAAGCTTCCCTTTCTTCCCGAACCGTAGGACCTTCTTCCAAGGTGAAACCTTCAAGAATACCATGTCACCAACATTGTACTCTCTGTCTCGTCTCTTTAAGTCTGCATAAGATTTCTGTCTGTCCGAAGCGGCGCGGAGTCGGTCTCTGATTACACGAACCTTCTCCTCGGTATCCTGCACAATATCTGGTCCCTCGAGCTTACGCTCGCTAAGCTCTGTCCAACATCTGAATACTCGCCTGGTAACTGTTATTATATGCAAACTCCATTAACGGCAAGTAACGCTCCCAATCTTCTCCAAAGTCGATCACACAAGCTCTCATCATATCCTCGACAATCTGTATCACCCTCTCAGACTGGCCATCGGTCTGAGGGTGAAATGCCGTACTAAGGTTCAAAGCTGTGCCAAAAGCCTTCTAGAGTCCTCTCCAGAACATCGAAGTGAACCGGGGATCTCTATCGGATATGATTGACAGCGGTGCACCATGCAACCGAACTATCTCTCTAACGTATAAGTCTGCAAATTTTTCCATGGAGGAGTCACGTCTGACGGGTAGAAAATGAGCGGACTTTGTCAACCTGTCAACAATGACCCAGATGGCGTCATTCTTTCGTGAAGATCGTGACAATCCGATCACAAAGTCCATAGTGATCCTTTCCCACTTCCATTCCGGAATGGTAGGAGGGTGCAGCAACCCTGTCGGAACCTAGTGCTCAGCCTTGACTTGCTGACAAGTCAAACAGCGCGCAGTGAACTCGGAGATTTCCTTTTTCATAGCTGGCCACCAATAGGATTTCTTCAAATCCTGATACATCTTGTTACTACCCGGGTGCATAGTGTATACGGTTCCGTGAGCCTCGCACAACACGCGATCCCTCACTCCATCGCGGGGCACCACTAGGCGTTCACGATAGTACAAGACTCCGTCATCGCAAATTGCGAACTCGGGCCTCTTTCCTGTAGGAACTAACTCTCGAGTCTTCTGACAAAACTTATCATCTCTCTGTGCTGTACGGATCTCCTGCTCTAACGGAGACTGAAGCTGTAGCTCGGCTAACGATTTTCTGCTCAAAGCATGGGCCACGATGTTAGCCTTGCCCGGGTGATACTCAATGACTAAATCGTAATCCTTGATCAGCTCCAACCATCGACGTTGTCTAAGATTCAGTTCCTTCTGGGTGAGTAGGTACCTGAAACTCTTGTGATCGGTGAAGATGTGAATCCTCTCTCCAAAGATGTAGTGGCGCCAAATCTTCAGGGCAAACACCACGGCTGCCAACTCTAAATCATGTGTCGGGTAGTTCTCCTCGTGAGTCTTCAACTGTCTCGATGCGTAGGCCACTACTTTACCCAACTGCATCAGTACACAACCTAAGCCGCTATGGGATGCGTCACTATAGATGGTATACTCGATGCCAGGAGTAGGTTGAATCAAGACTGGTGCCTGGGTCAGTACTCCTTTAGTTGATCAAAACTGCGCTGGCACGCTTCTGTCCACTCAAATTTGATGTCCTTCCGCAGTAGCTTGTTCAATGGAGTAGCGATCGAGGCGAAGCCCTTAACAAATCGACGATAGTAACCGGCTAACCCAAGGAAGCTCCTCACCTCACGAACATTCCGCGGAGTCTTCCAATCCACTATGGCTGAAATCTTGCTGGGGTCTACCTGGATACCGGTGGCAAAGATAACATGTCCTAAGAATGTCACCTCACTCAACCAGAATTCACACTTGGACAACTTTGTATACAGCTTGTGCTCCCTCAACACATTCAAAACCAATTGCAAATGTCTAGCATGCTCCTCTTGAGTCCGTGAATAAACCAAGATGTCATCGATGAACACTACTACGAACTGGTCCAAGTATGGTCGGAACACACTGTTCATAAGCTCCAAGAACACTGCCGGGGCATTAGTCAATCCGAAAGGCATGACTGAGAACTCATAATGCCCATAGCGTGTCCTAAAAGTAGTCTTCGGAATGTCTTCTCTCTTAATGGGAATCTGATGGTATCCAGAACGCAGATCAATCTTCGAGAATACTGTAGCCCCTCTGAGCTGGTCGAACAGGTCGTCGATGCGAGGCAACGGATAACGATTCTTCACTGTGGCTTTGTTCAACTGCCTTTAGTCGATGCAAAGTCTCATGGATCCATCCTTATTTCGAACAAATAACACCGGTGCTCCCCATGGGGAAACGCTAGGTCGGATGAATGCCTTTTTACAGTAGTTCTTGCAACTGAGCCTTCAACTCCTTCATCTCGGCAAGTGCTATACAATACGGTGTATCAGATATGGGTTCTGTACCCGGAACGAGATTGATCGAGAACTCTACCTCTCTCGGCGGAGGCAAACCAGGAAGGTCTTCGGGAAAGACGTCGGGGAAGTCGCAAACTGTAGGGATGTCCTGCTGACGTGGTGATTCTTTTCGCATATCCTGAACGTGACACAGGAACATCTCGCACTTCTTGCAAATCAAGCGTCTCGCGCTCATGGGCGATATAAACTCGGGAGCCTTGGGGAACACCTCCCCGGAGAGTGACACGTTGCTACCGTCATCGGCTCTCAGCCATATGGTCCGACTACTGCAGTCGACCACCGCTCCATGCTCGGTGAGCCAATCCATACCAAGGATAATGTCAAACTCTTTGTGTGGTAGCTCTATCAAATCTGCAGGGAATTGCTTCCCTTGCACGGACAACGGACACCTATGATAAATGTGATGAAAACGCATGCTATGTCCTAGCGGATTCGATACAACGGTAGGTATCTCAAGGTCACTCCTCACGATCGTAGAATTAGCAGGCATGCCAACACAGATATAGGAGAGCGTGGAACCCGGATCGATCAAGGCATGCATAACCGAATCAAATAGTATGAACGTACCCAAGATAACATCGAAATTAGGATCTGTGCGCCCCTGCATGGCGTAGGTACGCGCTGGTGCACGACCTGTCTGTTGCGGACGTGGTCTCTGCTGATTATTTGCGGCTGTAGACTGCTGACTCCGTGCTGGATGCGATGCAGCAGGCTGATCCGGAGCTCTAGGAAAAACAAGCTCGCTGCTAGGGTTTGTTGGGCAATGCCTCCTGAAATGCCCTGGCTGACCACAACCCAAACATAAGCCTTGGGCGAGCCAAAACTCGCCTGGGTGATGCCTACCACACTATACACACTCCGGGTGGCTCTTCGTTCTGATCGCGTTGCTAGCGGCGGCCGACGGAGATGGCTTCGACTTACTCCTCTTAGGCGGCGGCGCACTCGAAGATCCCTTCTTGTACCTCTTTCCCCCGAATCCAAAACTCTTCCCGCTCGGCCCAGCGCTGGCCGCGGGTCGCGGGTCTTTTGTCGCTCGATCCTCCTTCTTGGTCGCCTGCAAATCGTCCAAGCTCTTTTCCGTCTTCACAATCAAATCATACGCCGCATTAAAATCTGTCGTCGTGATCAGCGCGGCGTACAGCCTCAAGTCCGGCCGTAGCTTCTTGACGAACTCATTCAAACGATCCTTCGGAGTGGAGACTAGACTCGTCGCATATTGGGACAGGTAGTCGAACTTCTATCTCAGTTCAGGCAGTGACATCCCCTCCTGCTTACGTATTATTTCGTAAATAATTGGGAAATGTGGGCCGAGCCACGTATTATTTCCCATCAAGAAGTCCTCCACTTTTTTAAATAAGTCCTCTGAGTGCTATCTTCAGTCTTCGTACTTTGGATTCTTGGCCGATTGATATTATTGCTAGTCCTCCGAGTCTTCATTAATTCTCTAATTTCTTGAATCAGAAGTTTTTCCTGCAAAAAATAATATGTACAACATTTTTTTTGACCGGCCTATGCCGTGCTCAAATAATTATTATCTTTACCGAGGAGCCCGGTGTTAGGTGATTAAAATTCGCGTGAATAACTACTGTAACGAGAGCGATGTCAGTTCGATAAAGCAATGATGCTTCGAATAGTTATACGACACCAGAGTTAGTACGATGAAGTGGCGGTACTTCAAGTAGTTATTTCGTCAAGACCGTTGTTAGTACGATGTATAGCGAAATTAGTATATTGAAAAGATTGACGTTACTTAATATGAATTAGGTACGCTGCAGCAGCTTTGTCGAAGATCGATGTTAGCCCGGCTAACTGATGCAAACATCTTCATGTCATGTAGAGACCACTTCTGGAGTGCTTTGTTCAAAAGGCCTGAAGAATCGGGCGTCCCCGATAAAAGCTCAGATGAGACACCGGTGTACCCAATTCGATTGGGTCAAGACTTATGAGAAAATATGTGCAAGACCGGTGTGTGTATCATTCTTGGCTTGTCTCGCACACAAGAATGATATTTACCAGCGTGCCAGGCCGGGCCTGTGTCACATATTTTAATATTTTTTTATTATACTGAGCAAGACCGGTGTAGTAACCAGCGTGCCAGGCCGAGCCTGTGTCTCAGTCTTCCTCTTTTTTTAATTGTAACACCCCAACCCGCGTAACCCGAACCCGTGAGACAGCGGACCGGTGTGCCACTGGATTGGTATCCGAATATACAACATTTTCAAAACAATTTAATTCTATCAATACTTATAAAAATCCATCGGAGTAATTTAAAATAATGCAGAAGCCTTTTAAATTCAAACAACTTGGGATCTTGCCCGAAAACGTAATAAGCATTAAAGTTAATTAAATAAAGCATAACTACAGATTAAAGAGACAGCCACGCCATCGTACATCTCCTCCTCAATGCCCTCCGGGATCGGCTCTAGGTTCGTCTGTCTGATCACCTACGGACAACAAAAAGGAAAACAACGCTATCCGCTCAACATTGACGCTGAGTGGCACCCCATTGTAGCACAAGAATAAACATAATAATTCAATAATTAAGATCGCGCATATGTTTATCCTTTTAATAAAAATCAATTCAACTTTAAATTCGGTTCTTTAGACGGTTGACCAACAGTCAACTTATTTTCTTTCTTTTCAAAACGATTTAGGTGTTAAGGATTCCTCATTAACTCTTTGACCACCGGTCAAACCAATTTAGACTTTCACGAAAGTCAAACCACTTAACATTTATTGCCTATGACGGAGGTAGCCTCAATCCGTAATACCGAAGATAGCCTCAATTCGGTGGAGGTAGGATCCCTCGGGCGATAGCTTCAAACCCAAGATCACAGACCCTCGTGCGCACGTCTTAACCTCACTGACCAGGCCCTGCAGTCGCCCGAGCAATGGCCAGTTTCTATGTTCGACATAATAAACCAATTGATCCTAATTACCGATTAGAATTAATTAATTAACTTAATTAATTCATTAAAGTCCTTGGATTTAACCATTAGGTCAAACCTACGTCAACGGAATATCCAGTCAAAGCCTAAGTCAAACGGGACCTAACCCAAGTCAAAGTCAAACCTGTTCAGTCAATTCATAATCCTCAACAATTCAATTCAAATAATCAATTTAATTCAATTAACCAATTTAGCCAAATTATAGCATAAACATATATAACGATCCGAACCATTAAATCTATTCTAAACGCTATTAACTTCATAGTACGGACCTGGATTACGCAGAAATCGAATCTATAGCTCGAACGGAAGGCAAATCAACGAAATCGAACGAACAACGGGTCAAATTGAGTCAAAACACAGAATCGAACAATTAATCTGGCGTGGAGATTAATCTGCCCGTGGTATCAATCCGGGGCAGCAGCTGGATGCGGCGACGGTGGCGGACGTCGGCGTACAGTGGCGGAGCGGGAGCTGTGCTAAGGGCGACGGCGGCTGGAGGCAATTGGCGGTGACCAGCGTTCGGCGTGGCGGCGCTGCAACTCGACGGCGAAGATGACAGACGCCGGTAGTGGAGGCGACGAACGGCAGCACGAGGATTGGGAACCGTGGTCGGCGGCGCTGATCCTGGCAGAGAGCGACGGACTTCTGGCGAAGGGGAAGCAGCGACGACTAGCTGTGCTGGGGAAGGACGACGACCGGCGACTGGCTTATGGCGGCGATCGAAAATGATGAAGACGAAGATGAAGGTGAAGATCCAGGATTAAATGGCTTATGGTTCCGGGCCCAAAATACCTGATTAAACGGCCATAACATGAGCTCCATAACTCCGATTCGCGAGCCGTTTGAACCGACGTGATCACAAAAATATTTCCTACGAGATGACATAAAAGTTGGGCTTAGAATCCAAATTATAATTTTAACCCCTTTTTAGGCCCAATTCGTAATCAATTGCTCTAACGAATTTAATTAATTCTTTTGGGCCAGATTTCGGGGCGTTACATTAATACTGAGCAAGACCGGTGTCGTAACGAGCGTACCAAGCTCGGCTTGAGCAAGACCGGTGTAGTAAGCAGTGTGCTAGACCCAGTGAGTGCCTTCCGTCTACAATTGGCCAAAGAACCGTAGCCACTTTTTCAAATGTGAGGAGCATTGTTTTTTTTGAAATGGCAGTAATGCCCTGGGTACCGTATTTTCATCTCAATCACTTGGGATTTTATTGTGAATGTCCTCCAATCATTGGTTGGGGCGTCGGGCAACATCACGTCGCTGAGATGTCAGAATCTTACGGAGGTGAGTCCACGGTAGAACCTAGTGGTGGCGGCAATCTTCAGCGGTATTGGAGGCGGATAATGGCGTTGGCTCCCTTCTACTTGCGACTGAGATCTACACTTTTTTTGGTAGTGACTATCAGTTGGGCAGTTGGGCAGCTGTGGCGGCCGGTCGGAGCATCGGCGGCGGCAGCGGGTTTGAGCATCGGCAACAAGAGTAGCTTTCAGGATGGTGGATCTCCAGCGGGTGGCCGTCAATTTGAGGAACGAAGGATCTTTCAACCTCTTTCTTTCTTTTTTTATTGGGGTGGCTTCTTGAGGAATAACCACCACAATCCACTCCCTCTGCAAGTATTTGAACATGTGATTTTTTCTATATCTCTCCCCCTTCTTTTTGTTGCTGGTGTGGGAAAAAAAAAGTGTAACACCCCAATCCGTATAACCTGGAATTAAACGAATTAAGGTGAAACGAGAGTTATATAAAAATTTCTCTTGACATTTGAAAATGACAATTACTTATAAATGTTAAATTTACAAACTCTGGATCGCGACCCATTTAAAAATATTTTCGGAGTAATGCGGAAGTACAATAATAATCAAATCTTGACACATTTAAAAATCTGATGATCAAACATTTGCCTGCCATCCTTGCATCTCCTCTGACTCAATGCCCTCCGGGAAAGGTTCCATCATTGTCTTCTTGTTACCTACGTGTAGTCAACGAAAAATACAAACTACACGCTCAGCGAAATCGCTAAGTGGTACCACGCTAGAATTGTAGAATGATTCACAGACATATACATATATATATACGTCCACAAATGTATAATAATAATATTCATGATGTGGCACATTATATCATATGGTCAATTTGATGATTCATGATGATAAATATTTAATGATAATTACATGATGGCACATTTAATCAATTTGCTTGTTCTTGATGATGATTACATGAAGCCTATGTAATCAATGTAATTGTACTTGATGATAATAACATGATGCATGATTCTAACGAGCAAGGACACCCTTGCGCTATGAGATTCGCCCATTTTGTACGACGAACTCACGCGGCCTTAGTCTCTCAAGGGAGACTAGAAAGTATGGGTGGTACTCGAAGCCTGAATACCATGTACGTACACTAAGCCCAGAACGGGTGATGTCGGAGTAGTAAGTCTCGCACATCACGCTATAAGAGACGCAATGTAGCGCCCCAAAACATACCCTAGAATTATTAATAAGATAATTATTCCATTAAACAAATTTGTTTTGATTAAAATAAATTATTGTTGGGCTTTAGGCCAAAATAATATGTGTTTTATATATACAATATTACCATCAGGATAAGTCTCATAGAGATAAATCCAAAATGTTGACTTATTGTGTGATCTTAATTGGGAACCTGAGTACAGACCCAAATCAAGGATAAATGAAGAAATTTGTTTATGAACTTTGAAATGATTTATTGAAATAAATCATGAGAATAAATAATATGAATTTAGTATGAGCATTATTTTTAGTAAAGGTCAAACAAATCAATTTTGACTCTGTCAAAGTAAAACACCAAAAATATGATGTCGGAAAAAGTATAACGAATAAATATAAAAATTATATCGTTGGATAGAGTTTAATTGTACGATCGCAACGGTGCAAATGGATTTCAATTTGTAGAAAGTTGGACCAAAAAGTGTACCCCGACTGGGACCGAATTAGTCCCAATCAGAGAAGTAACGTGCAGAATCGCCTAAAAACCACATCTCCGCCAAATGAGAACGTGAATTGGGAATCCTACGCAGCAGCAGCTCATCTTCCATGTCTTCTTCTCTTCTCCTCTTCTATATAAAGAACCCAATTCTCCCATTTCTTCACCATTCTCTCTATTTCTTCTTCCATTTTGTCCTTGAGAGTGTGGAAAGTAGAGTGGTGCTGTCCAGAGAGTTAGAGGTCGCCGGAGCTAGCCACAAACCTCGCCGGAAGTTTCGTCGGAATATCGTCAAAACCTCCATTAAGCTTCGAGGTAAGCCCGTAGATATATCTAGTTACTAGAATGTTCGTATAGATCGTTTCTACATTCATAAACGGTCGTTTGGTTGAGTTTTGTGTTTGACATGCTTGAAGAACCAAGAATCATAAACCATGAAATTGATGTTAAAACTATGAATTAATGATGCCAAAATGATCTATGAACCTTGGAGAACATCTCTATATAGTTTCGTTGAAGTTCGATAACTAAAAACGATATTTCCGAAATTGGACCCGAACGAAGAAGAAGATGAACAGTGGCTGAAACACCACTGTCTGGATCGATCCAGGGGCTTGGATCGATCCCCTGGGAGTGATATTTCATAGTTTGGATCGATCCAGAGGGCTGGATCGATCCCCCGAAGTTCTGATCCGAAAATTTGCCCGAAATTGCTATTTTTGAGCTCTAAAATCCTATTTTTGATACCAATTGATTACAATCATTATAAAAATGATTTACCACAATAAAAATGATGTTTTTTACAAATAAAAATGTTATGTGATGCATAACGGTAAGTTCGAGTGTTAACACTCGAAGCTAGGCCGCTATTTGCTATCGAATGTTATGTTGATTGATGATTATGGTGAATGATTATTATGATGATTATGACTTGATGAAACCACTGATTACTGAGGATTAAATTATGAGTTGAAATGGATATTTTGATGATTATGAAATGATTTGGATTGTAAGAATATCTAGAAGAACTCTTAGATATACCTAAGTTGATGTTGGTTTCTAAGACTATCTATAAGACCTCTAAGATAGCTTAGAAATAGGCCTTGTGGGTATAATTATGAATATTTGGTGGCCTGGGTTAAAACGTACGTACGGGATATACAAACCAAACTAGAGGAACTCGTTTGGGGATACCACCCAACCCGATAGTGAGCATTCCGTTGTTCGGTTTTTGGATGACCTTAAGCGAAGGTAAGTTTAAGATTTTAAAACCTCTTTTTGAAAACTTGTATCTTAAACTAGGCCTAGCTTAAGGGTTAGTTAAGTGTACCTTAAACTGGAATATAGTTTATCTATACTAAACTAGAATTCGTTTAAGAGTTGGTAAACATCAGACAGATTGGCCTTAGACTAAGAATAGTTTAAGGATATTGTTGAATGACAAATGATGAATATTGTATGACGAATGTTGAATAAAAATGTTGAATATGAATGACGAATATACATGTTGAATGATTGAATAATGAATGTTGAAAATTGAATATCGATTATTGAATATCTGAACTAAACATTATGTGCATGATATCAAATGATTTGATTATGAATTGAGATTCTGTTTATATGGATGTTCGACGCATTAGATATGCTTACTCAGCTTTACACGCAGGTTAATAAAAAGAATGATGTGACGTGATCCTGGAGGCAGATGGAGGCGAGATTGTCAGAATGGATGTGATGGTTTTAATTATGATTGTGATTATGATTTGTTAAGCTTCCGCAATATTGTTGAATACTCCGTACCGTATATGTTATAAAAAAAATATTATTGTGATAAATAAAAGCTTTTGAAAAGTTTTTAAATTTTACGATTACCAAGTTAATACTTTAGTCTGAAAGGGGCTGCAGACCTGGACGGATTAGGGTGTTACACGCAATTACGCATGATCTCTTACGCATGCACATGATATGATATGCTACAATATGTGTGATGATATGAGTCATATGATATGAACAATTTGTAAACAATATGAATGGATAAATATACTTTATTTTATTTGGATGAAATCTGATAAAAATATTATTTAATTAAGCTACGGGGCTCGGAATGGTCGACCGTTTGGCGCGACGGTCAACCTTGATCTTCATCAGGTCGGATTGGCGGAGCACCGTGACGGTCGACCGTGGTTGACCGGCGGTCGACCGTTGTTGACTGGTTGCGGATGGCGGACTTCGGCTGGACGGGCGGCAGTCGACCGTCAGCCACCGGCGGTGGACCGTTCTGCTGACAGTTGTGGTCCGTTTCGAAGTTTAAACAAGACGGTCGACCGTTTGCGTCGACCGTTTGGGTCTGCGAATCTTTCTCTTGATATTTTGAGTGTTAAAAATACTTCTTTAAGTCTTTTAAGCACCTTTGATTAACATATACATATTGTTGGGTTGATTTCCAAAGTTTATATTTACTTATGTGTATATTAACTTTATGGATTTGGTGTATTTTGATTTCAACATATAGATAACTTATATATGCATCACATATATATTTTCGAATGGTTTTAACATATGGAATAACATATATGTTCATGTATGTATGTGATGAATGATTCGACAAGTCTAACGCAAAGGTACAGACCTGGAAATCATCGGTCGAAACCTTACAGATGAGCGGGAGTGGAAACAACATCGAAATTCACCAACTTTGTCAATCTCGTCACAATTGGACAGCCTACGGTATTTTGGGCATATCTCCATCGTTTCTTCACGAAATTGCAAACCGTTTGATTATGTGGATTCCTAAGATGTAGGGCTATAACTTTCATATAGAAAGTATTTCGATTTAAGAGATGTAAAATAGCGTAAATCGGAACTGAAATCAAAGGATAGTTGCTGTCCAGGATTTCGGATATGTCGATGATCAAGGATTCCGACGATTAACTCATTAACTTCAATATTCCAACACCGAACCTTCTCTACTATACCTTCCGGATGTTTCTAATAATCATTAGAGAGTTTATGGTAAGTGTTTGGAATGCAACAATCATGAATATGGTGAGGAAAATGGTCCAACCCGAGGAGCTCGCCACCACTGGTGCAGTCCCGGTATTTTGGCCATATCTTTTTCGTTACTTAACGAAATCGCGAGCCGTTTGTTGGGATGGATTCGTATCGTCCGGGGCTACAAATTTGGTTCAGAAAGTATTTCGAGATAATGGATGGAAAATTTCAGTTTTTATCTTAAAGTGGCTGCTGCGTTTTTGGACTCAAGATTTGGAAACCTCGATACTTCTTCTTGTTTCTCCATCTTCTTTCTTGGCTCAACAATGGAGTTGGAGTCTCTTTTTCTCCTTCCTTGATGGCTGGCCGACAGAGAGAGGAATGGGAAGGAAAGAGGAGTGTTGTGGATGGATGATGGGAGATGATGATGATAATAATGATAATACTGGTTTTGGGAGTATTATATAATTAGTTTGGAGTATTGTATGAATGAAGTTAGTGGAGGATTATAATGAGATTGTGGATATCTCCTAGGTTAGCTACCTGATGTTGGGAGGGATTTGGGAAAATAAAGTTTTGGCTTCTTGCCAAAACTGAACAATTTACTCAAAACGGTACACGCTTTTTCGCCCAAACTGTTCCGAATTGAAAACGGATTGCGATTTTTGAATGAGACTGTCAAAACTAGAATTTTGACGTTATCAAAATATTTTTTTGGGAACTTTTATTTTTCTTAATGTCTAGGTCTGTCTCTGTCATAAATTAATTTAATAATATGAATGAGATAAAAATATATGAATTAAATCCAAATGACAAATATGGTGTTGTCAAGTGTTAGAGATTAAGATTTCTAATCTTATGAAATCACTTTTGAATTGAGTTTATTTTATGGGTCAAAGTTACAAATTTTAATATTTAAAATCGCCATAGCTTGAAATCTATAAATCAGATTGGTTTTTAAAATGTACCGTTGAATTCGTCTCTTAAAGATATATCCATAAAAAATACTCCCTCCGTCCCACTATATTTGTCCACTTTCATTTTTGCACACCATCCAATGCACTTCTTTAATCCATTTTATCTTGTAATTTGTATGTTAAAAAATTATAGAAATTATATATTAATAATCTATATGTTAAGACAAATGAAACAAGATCACACATGACTATATTTAGGCTTACACATTGAGAGAATTTGATGAGTCAAAGTGCTTAGATGAACAGTTCTAAAAGTCAAAACTGGACGAATATAGCGGGACGGAGGTAGTAAGTTTTTAACAAAAAGTCATTATTTTGAAAATCTATTTATTTTTGGTCAAACGTAAAAAATATTCTTTATTGGATCAAAATGATATTCAAAACTACTTTTGTTTTATAATAAATTTTAGACCATATTTTGTGGCATTACAAAAAGAGTATTATGCTTCTCTTTTTTTTATCTCTCTTCTTTGTTGGCTTGAATTTGGGGTGTTCATGCCAAGAGTTCTCTTCCTCTAGTCTTTGATTTGAGCCACAAATGTGATTCAATTCCATAATTTTTGTAAGACCAATATGGGCGAAAATGGATCACGACTTTTTGCTTGAGGTCCCACGGGTGGCGCCAAAATGATGGTGTAAATTATCGATCGGTATATCGTTTTTAGCCGGGCAAAAACGATAAACTAGTCTAAAAATTCACCAAACTTTTAAAAGATAATTGATAAATAAAATCAGTAAACAACGTAACATAGTCTTCCATGTCAACTTCATTATCACTGAAACCTTCTTCATTCTCCTCATTAGCATCATTTAGTGTATTTATAGCATAAAAAATGAATTTTTTACAAAATATGAAATATCCACATGAAAACTCATGAAAAATGTAAGTAGGTGTAAATTTTAAATGTAGACTTTGAGACCATGTAAGAATCCCCCTAATTCAAAAGGAGGAAAGACATGTTTGCTAAGGTACACCTTATACCCTAAATTGCACACTAAGATCCTGTTCTTTTGAGTTGAAATTTTAAAGTTGAATATCGAAAGAAACTAGAAAGAGTTAGATAAAACTGAATTTTTTTTAAAAAAAAAAACTGGACGGAGTTAGAAAATGTTGGAAGAATTAAAATGTTAAAAAGTCATTCAATTAAAAGATCATTCAAATAAATATGTAAGAAAATTCTAATTTTGGATATAAAAATTCATCATTATCCATGTTTGAGGTGATATGTTATAAATGTGGATATATAATATTATTGTATATTCATCATATATGCATACATTTTTAAATCGTTGTTGGAAGAAACTAGAAGTAGTTGGAAAGAACTGGATGGAGTTAAAAAAATAAGAAAGAATTAAAAAATGCTAAAGTGTTAAGAAAAATACGAATTGTTCATTTATCAATTAATTAGGTCATGCTCCATCATAAGTTACTAGAACAAATTGTCCATCATCATTCATCACCATCAAGTTGCCATTTGTATAGTATGTATACTATTTCTAATAGTGTTAGCACTAAGCATCTCTACTATAAATAAGAGGCTTAGGAACCCTGTAAATTACCATTTTAAGAACAAGAAGAAGAGTGAAGAATCAATAGAGAGAAGAAATCAGAAATATATTGTATTTATATTCATAATCTCTGAGTAGTTTTTCTCTCGTTTTATAACACGTTATCAGCACGAATTTGCTCAAAAATCTCAGAATCCTTGTTCTTCTCAGAAGGTATATTTATTTTATTTTCTTCATAAACAAACTAAAATATTTTTCTCAAAAACTATGAGAAGTATGCTCTCTGATTGCCCAAATTTGGGATCCTTCACATCAGAAAATCATGTTTTTGATAAATTAAAACAATAAATAGAATTTAATAAGGAGTAGCTAAGGTTAAAAAAAATTTAAAAAAAAATTAATTTCATTTCTTTAAACTATTCTCGAATCCTGCAAGCTAAGATGTAAAAAAAATTATAATGATTTAGATTATAAAATAAGAATATTACCTTTAAATTTAGCACACTGTATATATATATAAGAGAGAGAGGTTTATCTCACCTCTAAAGCTTTTACTCTGTGTATGTTTTTTTCTCTGGGCAAAGTATCTGAGGGTGAGGAGAGAATATTTTATTTTGCTCCACTACTATATAGAGAGGCTAGTACTTAATACTCCGTAATCATTCTATTCTTAAAAGTAGGGGAATTATTTTCCCGCCCAATGCACTCATCTCCTCCGCCGTCGACATGAAAGAACAAATAAGATCTCCGGCTATGATTGGTTGTGTAATATTACCTATTTAGAATGATAAATTAAAGGAAATTTTGCATGCATAATCACTCTATTCTGATAAAAAAGGAAGGGAGTAATTTGTTTCCTAACCAATTTCTTCTAATTACTTGATTGTGATAAAAAAAGAAAGAACGGTGCAAGAGATTTTTTATATTTTGTTTCCTTTTTAAATAGGTAATTATTTATGCCTAATTATTACTACTATTATTATTATAATTACTTGGGATAATTTACGCCTGATTATTTTATCAAAAAGTAATTATTTATGCCTAATTAAATAGGTAATTATTTACTTAATCACTCTATTCTTAAAAGAAAATACTTTTAAGAATAATAGAATGATAAATTAAAAGAAATTTTGAATGCATAATTACTTAATTTTGGTAAAAAGGAAGGGACTAATTTTGCAAACAAGATCTACGTTGTTTCCTTTTTAGAATAATTTTGCATGTATAATTAATTAATTACTCTATTCTTATTTAGAATGATAAATTAAAGAAATTTTCGCATGCCTAACATATTTCTAAAAAGGAAAACAAATATAAAAAATATTATTTATATAAACTTCTTTTATACTACCAAACTTTTTTATTAAATTCTAATTGATATAATAAAAAAAATGATTACCATTCAACTAAAAATAATATTTGTCCATAAAAGGTAATAATCACGTTAAGTTGTAAATTTTTTAATTAATGCATTAAATTTACAGTTTCGTAATTTATGTAATTTCCAATTAAGAAACAAATCATTTTAATCATACAAACCATTCGTTTCCTTTTCGGAAAGAAATCAAATCTAAAAGAAATGTCAAAGTAATACATGGAAATGGTGGTACATAAAGTAAGTGTTGAATAAATAAATGATAATTAAATCATAAATCACCGTGTAATAAGAATAGATCATGTATTACCGTGTAACAAGAATAATAATATTAATATATCGTGTAATAATATTACCGTATTTAATCATTATTAATTTATTACCATGTAAGAAGAATNATGTCAAAGTAATACATAGAAATGGTGGCACATATGTAAATATGTTAAGTGTTGAATATAGAAATAATAATTAAATCATAAATTACTTTGTAGCAAGAATAAATCATGTATTACCATGTAGAAAAAATAATAATACAAATATACCGTGCAATAATATTAATGTATTTAACCATTATTAATTTATTGTCGTGAAAGAATAATAATAATAATATATCGTGTAATAATATTATCGTACTTAGTTATTATTATCGTGTAATAATTCTAACCAATAAGCTTTCAATTTAATAATGTTTCCATTTAGAGATTCAGGCCCAAATGTTTTATGGAGACATCTTTTTAAGAGGTGTGCCTTTAATACATGGAAACGTGTTGAATAATATATACCTTTATAAGTTGAACAATCAATCATTGATTAATAACTTACCCGGAAAAAATTAGATGCATGGAAATAGAAAAATACTTTAATTTTTTTCATACTTTAAATGCAGTCATTCTCAATCACTAAAAAAGTCTTTAAATAAATAAATGTTTTAAAAGTTTAATATATAAAAAGTTTGATATATAAAAATTATACGAGGAATGTAGAAAATCATGAAGAAGTCTTTAAATAAATAAGTGTTTTAAAAGTTTGATATATAAAAATTACTACGAGTAATATAGTTTATAAAGAAGTCTTTCGTTATTTGTAAAACAATTAATTTTTTTACCTTAAAATAATAAAATCTTTATTTTCTACTCCCTCCGTCTCAAAAGAAGTCCCCTTATTGATTTTTTGGAAAATTAAGGAAGGGATATTTGGTGTTGACTTTTCAAAAATACTCTTGATGTGATTGATAAAAGTAAGATGTGATAGATAGATTATTAGTAAAAAGATATGATGTGATATGTAAGGTATGAAAAAGTATGGGATAAAAGTAATTTTTTAATAGAAAAAGGAAGGAGTTTGTGGGACAAAGAAAAAATGAAAGGGTGAGATGTTTCAGGGACGAAGGGAGTATTAGATAAAAAATTATATCCTTCAAAAATGATCTTAATTTAGTAATATAAGTATGATCCGTGCAACGCACGGGAGTGATGCTAGTCCTTTATATATAATATTTGAGAGTTGAACTCTCAGAATTGCAATATTTGGCGTGCTGACTGGAACTTTTTTTGACACTTCATTAGCCACGTCATCAAAATCAACTACCTCAATATTTCAAGCGGGTTGGGCTTCTAGAATTGTGACATGTGGCATGCTTAATAGACAACTTTTTGACATATTAGCATGGCATGTTAGCAAGTAATGTTTAAAAAATAGTTAACAAAAAAACTTATTATGCGGAAATTAAATTTCATATTTGTTACACACAAATTTCTCCGTATAATCGCGTTTAAAAACTTTTATATTTTCGTTCACTATTGGAAAATATTTAAATTAAATAGTATATTTTGAAATTGAAAAAAAGCACCTATTCAAAAACTATAATAAAAACAAATTAATTTAGGGGCTGTTTGTTTCAGCCTCTTAATGGTTCAGATGTCTGAATGATTCAGCACTTAATGGTTCAGACTGTTTGTTTTCAGCCTCTTAATGGTACAGATGTTTGAATGGTTAAGAGATTTGCCTCTGAATGGTTAAGTATTATACAGAGTCTGAATGGTTAAGACCTCTTATCTGAATTGATCAGACATTTGCCTCTGAATAGTTAAGCAATATACTAGCTCTTAATGGTTCAGACCTCTTACTGGTTCAACACTTAATGGTTCAGACCTCTTACTAGTTCAGCACTTACGTATTCAGAGGTTGCCAAACAGCCACTTACTTTAAGAACGGATAGATTGGTAGGGCTAAACGAAATTACATTTGATTTTTTTCCTTTGAATTAATACTAATTGGAGAGATTTTCTAATTATTTAAAAAAAAGAAACAAATATATAAAAGGAAATGGATTTTTATGGGTACTCTTATTTAATAAAGCATTAATTTTATTCCTTATATATAAAAAATCCTAAATCAAATAAAAAGTATGTTCCATTTTAAAATTAGTATTTTCCATTTTAAAATTATTGTTTTCCATGTATAGCTTTGTAAAAATTTACATGTAATAAAAATTATCATTTTCCATTTATAACTTTATAAAATGATCAAGACTTGGTAAGTGAGTACTTATGTGTAAGAAATTAAATATTAATTGGTGTTCCTAATCGAAATATTTATGGTATAATATTAATTGTTAAGAATGTAATTACTTTTATATTTAATTCTTAAAAAATATAAAATGTGCTAATTATTTTGACATCTATGTCAAAATAATATAAGTAAGTAATATTCTTTCTTATTTATTTATTGAACCATCGACATCAATGTAACAAATCTTAGTGGATAATAAAAAAATATTTAAAGTTTTTAGATAAAAAAATTACTCCGTATAATATTTATTTTATGATGCTTATTACAAATACAGAAGGAGAGAGATCATCATCGGCTATAAACTCGCATCATCGAACACGTTCGAGAAAGAATGTACTTTGCAAACATGTCCAGTACATATTTCCCAAAAAATCATCTGTAATTTTCCAACCACGAAACAATTATACACACGCTTCATCGCGCTTTTAAGTGCATAAGAGACAGAAGAGAATTGATCTATGTTTACAACCCATTCTACTAATTTCTTTGAATATGATAATGCAACTATTGTCTTTTTGTATAAAATATTATAAACAATGTAAGAAAATAGATATGGTGGACACACTCGATATATTTTAAATTTAAATGCTGAGGTAGAAGGTTCATATATGCTTAAGATACATTAGTGGAATCAATTTTAGATGATCCTGCATTTAGAGAAATAAAAATTAAAAATATGTTTAGATTATATATGCAACATGTAAGTTGTGTAGAATGCTAAATATATATATATATAAAAGACTGCCTACATCATATTTTATTTTTCCTTCAGAGACAATCTATTTTGGGAATCTTACATTTATGTGTGAATTTCGGGAAACTTTGTTATGACATGAACTATAAAGAAAGAATCAAATGAATAACGATTCAAAACATCTAAAGTTTTCAATTTATTGCACAAAAGAAAAAGTTTAATTGTCTCTTCTAAGGAAAACCATCTGATTTGCTCTATAATTTATTTTATGGTCTTGGTGTGAAGAGTTCTCATTACCATGAAAAATTTAAATAAATACAACTGTATGTTTTCATTAACAATTATAAATAGAAATATTGATACATCTCACAATAATGGTTGAGAAATAATGTACTCTTAGCAGACACATTCATCATTACATACCATGTTTAATGTCACAATATGGTGAAAGACCAAAATTTACAAAATTGTATATTTATCGTATACAGAACGAGATATGAAAACAAATAACTCATTTTAGCTATCTCGAATACTTTATTGAGTACACCCTTTTAATAAAAGTATTATTTACATGTGTTTGACAATATAGTACACATGGAACATTATTAACATGCTAATAAAAACAAATTGTTCTATTTGTTTCACACAGTAGGGAGAATAATTCTTTGACTACTGATAAAAGTTTGGTCAAAGGTTTTGAAAAATATGGTAGATGAGCATAATGTTTTAACACAGATATTTAGAAGAACTAAAGATTTCATGGATAATGAGTACTTCTAATATATCATTGAGGCTGTTAAGAAGTAAGACTTCATATATAATGAGCCTACTTCTGATGTATCATTGAGGTTGTTGAGAAGTAAAACTAGAGACTCAATATATGAAGTTGGTGCTCTAATAGTTAAAGATCTTGATTCTTAACACAAGTTATTCTTCAAGAATATAGTGAACTTCACTTATCTAAACCTATTGGAGAACATAAAAAACTATTATATTCTTTTTTTGAAGATAGTGCACTATTGGCACCTGTGCTCGAGGTTATTGAATGGTAAATGAATTTGTCTTATCTTTTATTCCATGAGGTGAAAAGTAGTACTTAATTTCTTATTCTTTATGCCAACAAGTTTGGAATTAAAAAAGATATTTTTGAGTACATTTTTAATTCCTCAAATATTATTTATTCTACCTTGGTGTCTTTATCCAATGATAAAAAATCGTGTTAGAAATTTATTTACTTGATCCGGAAAATATATTGCATTAAAAAAATTTAGAATCGACAAAAATTTCGTCGACCCCATGCATCGCACGGGTGAAAATACTAGTAATTGAATATAGTAAAATTATTTATAAAATCAAAACATAGTCACATGGTGATATTTTCATGTGTTTGTCTTCTAACATACGGAGTATATGGGAATTGAGTATATTATCAACCTTATCATGTCACATGGTGATATTCTTCATTAGTTTTTCGTATTTGTCTTCTTCTAATCATTTTGATTTTGTTTATATATTATCATGACATTGCTCACACAAAAGAAAATATTACGATTATTAAAAAAATAATAAATTTAATTTAATATGTTGTAGTTATTCCATGGCGCACATCACTAAAAGAGAATTCGACATCCTTGATTTATCCGGTCAAAGGTACCTGGAATGGAGGGTTGATGCACTTGCTCACCTTAAGGCTAATGGCCTCGAAAATACAATTGTTGAAAATAATACAGCAACATCTCAGCAAAAGGCAAAAGCCATAATTTTCCTTCGCCACCACCTTCATGAAAGTTTAAAATCTGAATATTTATTGGTGGAAGATCCGAAGGAATTATGGGATAATCTCCAAGAGAGATATGGACATCAACAAAAGGTCCTACTACCAAGAGCTCAATATGAATGGATCAATTTAAGATTCCAGGATTTTAAATCCGTTTGTGACTATAATTCTGCTAATTTCAAAGTCACGTCCACATTAAAATTATGTGGACATAATATCACTGATCATGACATGTTGGAGAAAACTTTTTCCACCATGCATATGTCAAATGTGATATTACAGCAACAATACAGAGAAAGAGGTTTTAAAAAGTATTCTGAGTTAATCTCAGCATTACTTGTTGCTAAGCAGAATAATGAGCTCTTAATGAAAAATCATAACATGAGGCCCACCGGTTGTAGCCCTACAAATTTTGGCCATCCTGATCGTGGTTCAGCACCAGAATCAAATGTTATCCAAGGTGGTGCACGCGGACACTTTAAACGTGGACGCGGAAATAACCGCAACAAAGGGCCATATAGGGGATATAAACATCCAAATGAATCATCCTCCAAAGGAAAGGGAAAATTTAAACCACCACAATCTAAAACTCATGAAAAGCCAAAACCAAGTGGTGAATGCTATAAATGTGGCATAAAAGGACATTGGGCTAATGAATGTCGAACGGCAAAACACTTGGTAAAATTATACCAAGCTTCCACAAAAGGAAAAGCAAAAAGTGTGGAGGCTAATTATGCTGATGATATCAATCCAATTTTTCCTAAATTTGACGGGTCCGATTTCTACAAGGATGATGCTGAAATTGGTGATGAGGTGGCCTTTGGTGGAACTACTACTGTTTAAATATTTTAATTTACACTGTTATGGTGTGTTTACTTTTAAAATAAATGTTTAAAATCTGTACTTTAATTTTCATGTGTACTTGTATTATTATGTCTGTTCTAAAAAATTATAATAAAATGTATGATATTTGTGTTAATTATCTTGAACTTATATTTATTTATATATTTATTTATATTCAAGATATGGAGATAACTGCTTATGGCTCCAGTGGCAAAGAACAATGTCTAATTGACAGTGCCACAACGCACACCATTTTGAGAAACAAAGAATATTTTTCTCAAA